GATCTTAAAAGGTTATAAAGTATTTCGTCGCTTTAGCTCTTCTTTTGTCAATTCAAGGTATTGAGTTATTACAAAAGTAACCAAATAAAATATGATACAGGATTTCCGAGGGTTTCCGAAGCCACCAAGACTCTGGATATAAATATCCAGAGAACTATTGTTTGCAATACAAGCCTTATATGCATGAAGACGCGAGACGAATTTACACATACTTTGCTCTGCGACAATAGTGCATTATTTAGAATGCAACAAATATTGCATTCAACTACCTGATTGGAACAAGGATTTCTTTCTATGTAAATAGTAACGTTTCTCGAGCGAGTATTCAGCTTAGGCAGCAAATAAATGTCATTCCTATAGCATTTATTAAAGATAGAAGGAAAGGGTGCCCAATTCTAGTTTGAAGGTAATAAGTCCCTATAGTTCATTAGATATCATCATGTTGTATCCTGGAAACTCAGTTGAACAGCTTTTTAAGTTGTAGTCGTAGAGCTGTATGGGATTTAATGAAAAGAATGGTGGGAACCTACTCAGGAACCAACGCAGACTAGGTAATACACGCTGCTGTATTGTACGATCTGGTTATAGCCAGCGTTTGAAGCAGCTTCTTGATCGAACTATCAAATGTTGGCTGAGAACGAGGCACATCACGTCTGGTGATATTAACATGGAATATCAACGTGTGAATTGGAATGTAAATGATTTTAACCGTGAATATCAACGTTTTTAACCGTGAATTACCAACCCCTACTTCAGATGGCATTTGTGGACTAAAACCGGGTATATTTCAAATCTCTTTCGCTACGTAAAAAACAACGTCTATTCCTACCTGAGTCGAAGCCGATCTACTTTTATATGTAAACTGATTAAATCTCAACAGTCATTTGATATTCAGTGCAAGATTAACGTCTACAACTGGATCCAATGCACATGAGTCAGACTTGCCTAAGAGATCATACTTGTATCGGTTAAGCCGCCAGCTTCTTCGTCACTTCGGCGAAGGACTTGCCCTGCGTGGTGGCCAGGGCCAACTCCAGCTCCGACGGCTGACGAGATCCGTCGCTCTTGGCCAGAGTACCAGCACCCCACGGAGAGCCGCCGTGCATCTCGTCCATGTTGAGCAGTTCCTTGCCACGGTATCCCAGAGGGATATACGTCAGTCCTTGGTGCGCCAGGAATGTCACCGCCGTGAACGCGGTCGTCTCTTGGCCACCGCCTTGAGTGCCTGTGCTAAAGAAGAGACCGCCGGTCTTGCCCACCAGCGCACCCGTCGCCCAGAGGCTACCGCACGAGTCGAAGAACGCCTTGACCTGCGCCGGCATCGAGCCAAAACGGCACGGGAAACCGAAGAGGATACCGTCGGCCTCCTTGAGCGTGTCGATGGTGGCGATGGGGTGGTCTCCCTTGGGAGGGGCGTGCATCTTGGTCAGCACTTCTTCCGGGAGGGTCTCCTGCACCTGGTAGATAGTGGCAGTGACTCCACCGACGGACTCAATGCCCTTCTTGGCGGCGTTGGCGAGCTTGGCAACGTGGCCGTAGGTGGAGTAGTACACGATGGCAATCTTGGTCATGGTGGTTGGAGAGTTGGAGTAAAGCTGAGTAAGTTCAGGAATGAGGAGACGTGGCTTGATCAATACTCGAAATGGACTCAAGTACAAGCATCTGATATCGTAATACGTCCCGTCATTGTGTTTACAACTTTGTTCCTCGTAATCTGCAGACGACTTCTCGACCAAGTGTTTAGTTCGGATGTGGTCCATAACTTATGGGACTATAAGGGTGCTGATCCCGTGTGACTGGCAGC